GGTTTGGGGCTGGTGGTTTATCTGCTGGTGGCCCGAGAGAGAGGAGGAAGGGTGTGGGGCAGGGCAGGGCCAGGATGTGCCAGGGACTGGAACCGAGTTGGGCCCCTGTTCAACCCCCTCTGAGCATAGGGGAGTGTGTTTGTTGTCCGTCTGCTCAGAGCGGGGCCTGAGGGTGTACGCGCCTGGCACTTCTTGCTCGGCCTGTTCTGGGCTCTTGGAGAAGTTCCCGCCCTGGGCAGGAAAGTGGAGCCCCAGCAGGTCCTGGGGTGGGGCCCTATCAGTGCCTGGACCACCCAGCTGCCCGTGAATCAGAGTGAACTGTGGGTGGCCAACACCCACCTGTCTGCCCAGCAGAGCTGCACCCTGAGAGGCCCCTGAATCTGCAGAGTGCACGGCGAGCAGCGTGCCTGGGAGAGCACCATTTACCTGTGGGTTCCTTGGAAACACATGTTACTACTGTAAAATTGTTTTATTTAAAATTGCATCAGCTGGAGTCTGTGTGGACCTCTGGGGCCACTGTGATTAGCCAGTGTTACATTGTGCCAGTCAGGCGGGAAGAGACACATGGAAATCTGGGTTGGTGGACACCACCCTTCCTGCCTATTCCAGGGAGGTTTGGTGCCTTTGGATGTTGGATTTGGGAGGCCCAACGCTTAACCTGCCCTTCCCCCTCATCACCCTCTTCTGCCCAAGTACCCTGATATTACATGTGTCAGAGGTTGGCACAAGAGTGTTGGCCCTGCCCCCATGGCTAAGCCAGGCCACAGCTGGCTTCTGCCAGCAGGGCAGGGGCAGCTCTCTGGGCCTGAGAACAGCTGGAGAGGACAGAGGAGGACCTCCAGCAAGGTGGGCGTTCCTGCCCGTGCTCCCATCCCCGGTGAGCCAGGACACAGATGAGGGACAGGAGGTGGGGTATGGACAGGCCTCTTGGGGATAACCGCAGCCTGAAAGGAGCAAGTGAGAATCCAGGCTGTCAGAAAGCCAAGAAAAAAGGCAACTGAGCTAAAAATAGGAGCATCAGCCAGAATGTCGGGAAACGCCATCTGCAGCCAGGCTTGATTTCATTATCCCTAATTATTTAAGTCACATAACACAGAACAAACCTGGGAAGAGGATACCCTTTCTGCACAAGGGTAATGATCCCCCCTCCCCCAGTGCACAAGCAGAAATGATCTCAAAAATGATCCACAAAGTAGCAATAGCTGCAGGGTGCTAGGTGAACTTCTGAGAGGTGTGGTGGGCAGCTGCACCCCAGCTGTGCCCCCTAGGCTGGGCTCCACTGCATGCAAAGAGCTAATAATGGCAGCCCGCCGTTGTTTCCACATTCTGGCTGATGCTGCAAATGATGCTGCCCTTGTGTTTCAATCCACAGGGTCACAGAGAGACTGTTTCCTTAGAGGTTCCAAAGTGGAATTGCTGGATCCAGGAGAAAAGGTTATCATTGCTTTTTAAAGAGATAACAAGTCAGAGTCTGCGAGGCCCCCCAGGCACGCTGATGGCTTTACCACACCCTCACCTTCCTCGGCTCTCCTCTTTTCCCACCAAGTTTTCTTTAGTTTATAGGTACAAAAAGAGGCTATATTGCATATCCTTAATTACTCATGAGGTGATTATTTCTCTATAATTGTTACTACCTCGATTTCCCCTTTTGTGGCTATTTGCTCCCCTAAGGGTATTATTGATGGACAGGTGGCTTGGTAAAATGCATTGCAAGAACACCTGACCCACAGGGCCAGGGCCCACCTATCTGCCCAGCAGAGCTGCACACTGACAGGCCCCTGAATCTGCGGAGTGCACAGCGAGCAGCGTGCCTGGGAGAGCACCATTTACCTGTGGGTTCCTTGGAAACACATGTGTTACTACTGTAAAATTGTTTTATATAAAATTGCACTTTTATTTCAAGACAATGGAGATTCCCATGCAGTTGTAAGAAAGACCCCATGAGCCTTTACCCAGCTTCCCAGTGGTAACACCTCATGAACTGTAGTTCAGCACCATAGCCAGGAGGTGACCTGGATGCAGATGAGATACAGAACATCCTGTACCCACAAGGGGCCCTCATGTCACCCCCCTTAGAGCCACATCCACCTGCCTCCTCACCCCTTGCCCCTCCTTAACCCTTGGCAACCACTTATCTGTTCTCTATCTCTTTAATTTTGTTACCTCAAGAACATTCTATAAATGGGATCACACCGTATGTGACTTTTGGGGTTGGATTTTCTGTCACTCAGAACCGTTCTCAAGACCCCCCTGCTGTTGTGCGGGTCTGCAGCTTGTTCTTTTTTATTGCTGCACATTAGTCCATCCTGTGGGTGGGCTGTGGTTTGTGGAACTAGTCACCCGGCAGAGAACGTCTGCTGTGTTTCCAGTTTTTGTCTACTCTGAATGGACCTGCTACGCATGTTTGCTGTCTAGCTATCCATTTCAGCCCAGCCCTCCATGGAGGGGCCTGAGCAGTGGGACGGAGCAAGCCCTGTGGTGCTTTCCTTCAGCCCAAGCGTATAGAGTATCCCAATACACGGGGCAACGGGATGTGAGTGTAGCCTGGACACATGCAATGTGCTTCCAGGAAAGACCATTTGGGCTCAAGTTCCAGCAACCTTTAAAAAAACAAATGTTATCTCAGGAGCAAAGGATCTGAAAAAAAGGGTCGGCATGATTAATAGGATAGCATCATTTTCACCATTATTAAAAGGAATTGCTAAACCAGTATTTGTGCTGAATTCAAACACTTCCTAAATTCCCGTATGGAAAAAAATATCTGGTAGGTCTGGTCAGAGGGAAAATAGCCCAGGAGTCCCCATACTGTCCAAGAGCTAGAGCCCTGGGGAACTTTGCCCTCCCTCACCTCCCTCCTGAAAGAAAATTCTTCCAAACAAGAGCTGGCTGGTGGGGTGGAGCATGGTGTTTGCATACTTGGGAAGGAGAAATTGGTAGTATGTTTTCTCAGTCTCTGGACTATGTCTCTGTAAGAACAGGCTAAAGACATGGAGACCTGGGCTTGAGTTGACATTTGTTATTGTCAGCCTTAAAATTTTTTTTTTAATTTTAACTATTTGAGTAATGTGAAGTGATACATCACTGTCACTTAACTATGATTTTCCCTGTTATCTAGGGGACTCTGAGCATCTTCTCATGTGATATCCAGCCATTTATGTTGGTCCTTTCTGTTTTTTTATTCTTATGTTGCTCCTTTTCTGCCTTCTTTTGGATTAATCAAGTTGTTCATATTATTCTGTTTTATTTCCTCTACTGGCTTCTTAGCCAATCCTTTTAAATTATTCTTTTTCTAGTAGTTTTGCTCTGGGGTTGTATGTAACATCCTGCCATCAAATTCTGTTGAGTCAGTATCGTGTAACTTAAGTCTTCTTTCTTCATACATGACCCTTCTTATCTCCCACTTCTTACTCCACACCTGACATTTCCCATGTCACAGATGGAACAAACTCACGGATGTGTGATGTCTTTTACTCAACCCATCTTTGAGTTACAGTTGACAAGTCTTTCACTTCTACAGATTTGATGGAAAAAACTTGGATTTACAGATCAAAAACTCAGCAAAATCTCAGTAGAACACACACAAAGAAAAACACACACAAGCATATCCCAGGAAAACTTCTGAAAATCATAAAGAGAAATGCTTGAAGCAGCCAGCAGAACACATTACCTTCAAGGGGAACAATGATAAGAATTTCCACTGACCTCTATCAGACACATTGTAAACCAGAAAACAATGGTATAAACCTTCAAACTGCTGAATTTAGAAAACTTAACCCTAAACTCTATGTCCAGCAAAAATATTCTTAAAAAAATGAGGTCAGATATAAATATTTTCAGATACAATTGAGAGAAACTGTGGCTAGCCAGGTACAACAGGAAATGCTAAAGGATGGTCTTCACGTGGAAGGAAATGATACCAGGTGGGAACTGGGTCCATATAGGAAGGAAAGGATAGCTCGGAATGATCAACAAATGGATAAACATAAATGGTATGCTTTTTCTGTTTCCCATAATTTCCCTACGAGATAACTGTTTAAAACATACATAATAACTTCATGTGCTGGCTTAAAAATGTATATATAATTCATCTCTGGGGCTGAATATACACATCTGGTATCAAATTCACCATGCTATACCACACATACACATTTAGCAGCTCTGATCACACTCAAACTATTTCACATGTACATTTATTTTATTTCATTTGCAAAAGTTACTCCAAACCTGCTTTCCTTGCACAAGAAACTTACATGCAGTTAAAGTAAGGTTTAATTTTGTAGCATTCCCCAAACGTACCTATTCCATAGAAAGCCCTATGTAGCTGGGTAATGGGGTACAATTAAAAGGTACAGTCTTTAAATCAAGAATTTTGGTGTCATGGAGACAGGAAATGAGTGAAAACTGGAGTGGGGGCAGTGAGTTGTGGAAATGCAGAGAGGTGGTTCATTCCAACCATCTGCAAGGATTCCCAGGAGCTGGACTCCAAAGTGAGGCTGGAGGAGGAGTTTGGGTGCTAAACGGTCTTCGGTTGTAGTGAGAAGGTATATAATCTCTTTCTACTTTATGGCACCAGTATAAAAAGCACACACAAGCCTAGGAATTTCAAAAGGGGTAATCGCCATCAGTCCAGCGGTGGAAATTAATTTGGTGTCTTAACTGATTCCTTCTTAGGCAGCACGTGTCTGCGGAAAATACCAAAGCTGGGTAATGGGCAAGACTGACACAGGTGAGAAATTGTCTGGTGTCCACATGCCCTTTGTTAGTGACTCCACGGATCCCGCCTGTGTTGGGGTGTATGTTGCCTATGCCCGCCCCCAGCTAAACCGACTGTGCACGTGCCAGTCCTCAGCGACCTCAGAGATGCCGTGCGCACGTACCCATGGTCAACACACCCTGGGAACTCCCGTACTCGTGCCATCGTTCAGCGACGGCCACATCCCCGTGTGCACGTGCCGTCGTCAGCGACCCCCCCCCCCCGCAAGCCCCGCGTGCACGTGCCGTCAGTGGCTCGCGGCGGCTGCGGTCACCCGGCTGCCTGGGCCGCGTCCCGGAATATGCACGGTGGGAGTGGTCACCCAGTCCAGCAGGGGTCGGGGGCGGTGAGGCGTCCCCTAGCGTGGCGCTCAGGGAGGGGCGAAGCTGTTAGGGGGCACCGCGGCGTGTCCCTGCGGCGGCAGCCTCAGCAGTGCAGCCCCTCGCCGGCGGCACTCCGCCCCGAGGCGCGGTGGGAAACCTGCAGCCGCCTAGGGGCGCCCCACCTCCCTCCCCCGCCGCGGGGACACCTCCCAGTCGGAGAACAGCACCACCCGCGCGGAGACCTGCCCTTTAAGCCCGCGCCCCGGAAGCGGTAACGCGACTGCGCCGGGACCGGAAGTGGGGCGGGCGGCGGGCGGCCGGCTCCGAAGCTGCCTCGGCGGCCGGGCGGGCTGCCGTCGCTGTCGCGTCCGGGTGGTGACTCAGGCTCGGACTGGCCCGGCGCGGCTTCGGGGCTGCCCATGGGGAGCGGGGGGCCGGGCCGGTGACGCCGGACGCCCATGGACGCCGCTGAGGAGCCGCTGCCGCCGGTGGTCTACACCATGGAGAATAAGCCCATCGTCACCTGTGAGTGCCCGCGGGCGCCCGGCCCGGCGGCTTCCTGGAGTGGAGGTGTGGCTGGGCTTCTGCCGCCGGGGCTCCCGCCGCCCCCCGGGGCGCCCTCCGACACACCGCCGCGACTCCCGGGCAGTTTCGGCCGCAGTTTGAAGCGTCCGGGACGCGCCCCGGAGCCGCGGGCGAGGAACGGGGGCCGCCGTGCGCGCCTCAGCCCAGGGCTGGAAAGCCGACCTTCCGCTCGGATCGGGCTGCTTCCGGGCGTGCTGGGCTCTGCCGGCCGGGGTTCGCGCTCCGGGAAGCTTCCCCCGGCGACAGCCGCGAGTCCGTCGACGCCGGCTGTTGTGCACAGGCACCGACAGTGCCGCCCTGCGCGCCGGGCTCGGTCCGCGCTGCTCTGCGATTGGCTGCAGGGAAGCCCCTTCCCAGCGGAGGCTGCCCGGAGGCGAGCTGCTCGCCCACTGCGGCCCCGCTCTCGAGTCCACGCTCTGGTCAGCTGGACTGCTTGCTGCCTCTTGGTTTGGGGCGTCGGTGTTTGTGTGTGAGCCACATTTCTGCACGCGCAAACGAATTGTTTTTCTGCTACAGAAAAAAGTCTCCCCTGATTTAAAGAATTGTAACTTTAGAATGAAATACCTTAAAAATACTGAGCTCTCGTGGGAAGTGTTAATGTTGGTTGAAATCTTGATGACTTTCGGAGAAGTGTTTCAAACTATTAGGGTTTTTGACCTTTGACAGTAATTATTCTGTATCTTGTATCAGATGGTCTTCGTGCTTTGAAAGGAAGCAGAATCTGGGCCCCTGGGCCATAGGCCTGGAGCACTCTCCCGTGTTCGCTCTCTTTTAATGGGCACACTCCTTGTATGCTCCTTTGTGTGAGATCCCTGAGAAATTGTATATTTAAAGTTTGGTGCTTCATCTTCAGATGATAAACTCTCTTAGGGAAATGGACTGTGTCTCATCTAAATTTGGACATATGCATAGTTGAGCAAAAGCTGTTTTCTTTTTCCCCTCAGAATACTGAAAGTCAACTGAATGTCTTACTCAGGATTCTCCACTTCATTCCCAGAGGACAGGTGCCTGCAGAGCTGGTCTGGAGGCCTGCAGCTTCCAGGTGCTTTCTGAATCCTCAGGCAAGAGGAGGCATGCTCTCCATTTTAGGTTTCAGTGTCTTCCAGATCCTGGAACTTCCCCCCAAGTGCCCTGCACATTGTGAGGGCTGAATAAATACTGCCTCTCGGGCATCCACATATCTAAATATATTTCATACCTCTTAGCTTATACTTCAATACAGTATGTTTCTATAGACATTTCTACAAGCATAAGTTTCTTAAGACAAAGTTTCTTAAGCTCTGTGAAATTCAGCTGTGGCTAAATGGGTCAGTTGTTACCCCTGGTGTCAGTGTTTGAGGTATGAGTTCAATGTTCAGTTTCTTATGCATATGCATGACAGACAGTTCGAGGACAGCTTCCTTTCCTACAGGTTTATTATAATAAGCATATTGGTGGAGGCCCCTTCCGTGTTTAAAGCCCAGTTGATGTGTTACCTCTGCTGGCAGTGTCTCTGTCTTAAAAGGCACAACCTTTCATTATTGGAGTCTCAGAAAAGAAGGTGGCTTCAGTACACTTTTGAGAGAAAGCTTGAAAAATGAAAAAGATCACTTTAAAAGTCAAAGATTCTTTAACCTTTAGAAAGGGTGACTTCGTAGTACACATGTAAGTTAGATGTTAGTATCTCGGGCTGAAGCTTTGGTAAGCACTTGTTCTGCTTTCACTTCATACTTCGTCTCGTTCCATTCTTTCAGCCGCACCTGCTTGAGTGCAGAGGCTGGTTTAAGTGGTGCAGCCAGCTGCAGTCAGAAACTTGCTTCAAAAGAATCCACCCAGAGGCTCCACATTCCTCAGACTTTTTATCTCATGCACAAGTTCTTGGTGTTCAACATTTTTGTTCTCAGAAAGTCTGTTTACATCTTCACCTTGAATTCTTACCTAACCATTGCACGCCTCTTAGGTCTGTGTTTGTTCATTTTATTTATTGATTTACCCTGTGTTCATTGTAAAACGAAAGCAGGTTTTATGGTTGTTTTCATTTTTTTTTCATAGAATTTATAACATTTTATTTTAAGTGAAAATGACTTCTATGTCGTTTTTAAGAATGTAGAATGAAAGTGGTTCAGGTAAATCTGGGAACTGTTTATATGTGGCCATGAGAAGAATGGCAAGTTCCCAGAGATTAGGAGTAAACAATATTTTATTGCTTGAAAAACTTGCTGAGTTACTTTAATAGTGTTCTGAAACTACCTCAAAGTTTTAATGGCCTTCAGTCCATAATTAAGAGTTTCCACTGGCCTCTGGTGCGGAGTGACCACCTTAGCAGGGGATACTCCGAGCCCAAGATTGGTTAGGCTTGTAGAGGCTGGAGAGTGGACCTGAAGTGCACAGGGGTGCCAGCTGGACCGTTGGTGTTACTAATGTGATGACCTTGGGTGATGAATTCCCTAATCAGAGCAATTTGAATAGCTGTAGTATAATTTATTAATCATGAAAAATGCACAGTGAAACTGAAACAAATCCAGCAGATCCATTTGATCTAAATTCAAATTTTAGCTTAGATTTTTTGTTTTCAACCATCCGGTCAGTACTTTAGGATAACTACTTAGGTTTCTGATCCAGGAGTATGATGGGGAATTTATGTTCCTTTTCTGGCCATCTCATTCTGTGGTCCAGGTTATTGTGATTCCATTGGTTTGTGGCTTGTCTTTGTTGATGCTCAGCATCATACCTAAAATAGCCCACCCACATGGAATTGTATAGTGCCTGAAAAATAACAATTTTCCGTCCCAGTGATCTGTTCTCATGAGTCATGTCTTATATTGCTATTTACTTTTTCTGAGTGGGGGTTCAGATCTGACATTATAAATTTTGAAAGGGGGGAAAAAGGCAACAAATACGAGCAGATCTGTAGTGCTTTGCACCTAGTTGGAGTTTGTTTCTTTTTCCCCTGTAGGTTAAAGTTTCTAAATTTGCATGTGGTAACTTCCACCAATTGCGATGCTTTTGATTTAACCACTCATTTTCATTACTGGAAAAGTAACTTAAAAGTGTCTCTTTTTAAAAAAAAGTTGCACAGAAATGCAGGTCTTGGTCCATATTGAATTCTTAAACCAATAGTGAATCAGCAGTTGAGAAGGGGGAAAAACATTTCTCATAGGAACCTTCAGTTGTGCCATGGGGCATATTTGGAGGGCAGGGACTGAAGGCAGCTTGGATGTGCTGTCCTCTCCTTGTGTGGGGTTCCAAACAGGCCTGATGTGCACCCCTAGGCTGTTAAGTAAACTCTTCCTCACTTGTGAAACACTGATAATGACAGTACCCATCTATGGGTTAATGGGGGGTTAAAAGAATGATTATGTGTAAGGTACTCAGAAGAGTGATCATCATGCAAAACTGTGTTAGCTCCTAAGGGGAGATTCCTGAACCTCCTCTGTTTATGGTACCTTTAGTGTCTCCGTGATTTTTATTTATTTATTAAGGTATCATTGATACACACTCTTACGAAGGTTTCCCAAGAAAAACAATGTGGTTATTACATTCACCCTTATTACTGAGCGCCCCTCCCCACCCCGTACCCCATTGCAGAGACTGTCTATCAGTGTAGTAAGATGCCACAGAGTCCCTGTTTGTCTGAGCTACACTGTCTTCCTCATGACCCCCCAACACCATGTGCACAAATCATGATACTCCACAGTCCCCTTCTCCCTCTCTCTTCACCCGCCCTTCCCCACCCCCCTCCTCCACCCTTCCCCTTTTGTAACCACTAGTCCCTTCTTGGAGTCTGAGTCTGCTGCTATTTTGTTCCTTCAATTTTGCTTCTTTGTTATACTCCACAAATGAGGGAAATCATTTGGTACTTGTCTTTCTCCACCTGGCTTATTTCACTGAGCATAATACCCTCTAGCTCCATCCATGTTGTTGCAAATGGTAGGATTTGTTTCTTTCTTATGGCTGAATAGTATTCCATTGTGTATATGTACCACATCTTCTTTATCCATTCATCTACTGATGGACACTTAGGTTGCTTCTGTATCTTGGCTATTGGAGTAGTGCTGTGATAAACATAGGGGTGCATATGTCTTTTTGAATCTGAGAGGTTTTCTTTTCGTAAATTCCTAGGAGTGGAATTACCAGGTCAAATGGTATTTCTATTTTTAGTTTCTGTGATTTTTTTCATGACTCTTGGTTAAAAGGAATACTTAATGATTCCATTAATTAAGTAGCTAGGTCCAGGTAATTTTATTAAATAAATAAGTATATGTCTTAACAGTAGCTGTTTGAAAAAATAATACACAAATATTGTAGGAAAAAAATTATTTCATTTTTAAATGACCACAATAACATACTAATGTTACACATGTTGGACACTTCACAACTTCTCTAACATGGGAATCAGATTGGACACTGCCATCCTCTTTGATTTTTGTGTGTGTGCTTGCCTTTTGTCACAGCAACTACCATTTTGTGGTGATAATGTTGTCATTGAACGGAATGTAGCACTATCCAGTGTTGAAACTGTGAATACTTCAAGTGGGGTCCAGTACATCTTCAGCATTGCTGTTCCCTTATAAATTTAAAATACTCTGGGGGGCTTCTGGGTTTGATGTGGTATAGAAAGGTACCTGCGTACACATTTTGGGAACCCATGTTATTAGCCTAACTCTAGGTGGATTTGAAATGATGGTTTCGAACTGAAAAGCTTCCTTTTCTATTTGAACTTAGCTCACGTGTCATTTACGAAATGTGTTTCTAAAATTTCTACTAAAGTGGAATTTGGTTTATCCAAGTGAAATTCAAGGATCTGATTTTTTATTGTGAAGCACCAGTGAATCTCTGACATAATCAAATATGGCAGACATGAGCCAGCCTCTCCTTAGAAAGGAACTGCCAACTTGATGGTGTGGCACACACACTGAGACAGGAAGGGCTGAGCTGGGCATCTTTTAGTGGAATTGCAG